GACTCTCTCCAAGAACCTACGTGAGCGCTTGGACCTAGCCAACTGCTGTTCCCAGCAGATGTCTGGCAATTCATTCTGATCCAGTCCCTTTTTGCTTGCTTTATTACCTTATTCTGTACATAATATGAAGAAATAACATTTTAAGAAAGAGTACACTTCACTTGTTCTTTATCACAAGTAATTTTTCAAGTGCTGTGCACATCTGTCATTTCACCACTTCCCCATTTTAAAGTACTAGTAACATATTACTCTGTTGAAAAACATCGTACTACAGCTCCCTGCACTACTGTGTATAGATTTGTTAGCTATTTTTTTTTTTACACACATCTTCCAAAACAACGTATATCAACAGAAAGTACTGTAACATTTGTTCAAATACGGTTCTTGAAAAGTAATTTCCTTTTTTAATAGGTACCTTTCTCCAGATGTTTGCTAGGAACTGAAGTAGAACTTCAAAAGGGAAAACCAGGAAGATAATCTAGCAAGATTTAGTCAGTCATTTTGTTACGCAAGAGAACTATGAGTAATGTAGGAAATTCATAGAATATTTCAGAACCCTATATTTATTTTAAACCACTAGAATAGACTGTTTGTAGTAACCATGGTAAAGAACATAGTCAAGATTTTTTTTTTTTTTTTTATTGAGCCAACACTGTAAACTTCTAATGAAATAAGTTACAACATCTTTCAATTCGATTTTCAGAACTTTTAGCATTTTGCGCAGTTTGGACAACTCTATGCTCTAGTGCTACATGTGTATTTGAGCTCAAAATACTGCAGAATAATGTTAAAATAGAACATCTTCTAAGCGCTTGGAGATTAGTTTTGTGAAATGTGTATGTACATAAAAGATAAATCTTGTGGCTTCCTCTTGCAGTATTACTAGCAAGAATTCAAAAGAACATTAATGAAAACCAGTACATGCAATATTAAACCAAATATCTAGACCTACCAGAAGCCAGATAACAGGAGGTGATGTGGATTAACTGACAAATAAAATCAGTCATCCCTAGAGATTTTACAATGTTATAGTTCTACTCTCAAGCACGAGACCAGCACAAAATCCATTAAACAAAGTCAGTTCTAAAGAGAATAAAATTGGAACAACAAAAATACAAGTCTAGAACTGAGATGCATCAGCAAAGTTGCACAAAGCTCATGTTTTGCTTACAAGCAGACATCTGGCATTAGGCACTGCTCAGTTACTTGTGTGCATTACATTTAACTGATGTACTCAAAATTCCGAAGAATCCATCAGCATTGTTAAAGAGATGGCTTTCTCCTAAGAGAATTCATTTTTATAGATGATTCCAAGGTAAAAGTTTCAGTCCCTACAACTATTAGAAATAATAAAGGAAGATTTTCTAAGACATAAATATAAGTGGCAGTGAGTCATCTTATTTTGGTGTAGTGATTAACAGTCTTATGTTAACCAATGTTTTGAGGGCTCCCTTTTATTCCTATTAATGAAACAGACTATTAATATTGTTTACTTTCATTCAGAAAAGATGCACTGTTAACAGGTCTTTCTTGGCTTCTTAGACTCATAGGGGTTTTTTTGTTCTGTCAGAGCAGTATTTTTTTGGGGTCTCCCCAAAAACAAACAAACAAACAACCTCCCCTCTAAAACAGGGACAGAAACATGTACCACCCCCATCATTCCCCCCAAAAAGAAAAACAGTTCATCCCTGAAGCTGATGAAAGAAGTGAATTCAATATACTTGGCAATATGCTGGAACTATTTCTCACAACATGAAACTGCTTAATAATGATAGTTATTACACTCATGGGTAATTCTGAACATTTTACTTGACTGTTGAATTTAAAAAAGAGATCCAAACAAGAACAAGAGATCTAAACAATACATCTGTTGGAGAAAGAAAAACCAGCCACAAAACATGCAAGTTACAACAAAAAGCCTTAATAAAAATCTCTGGAAAGCAAGTTTCTTAGACATCCAAGGAGAACTTAACATGAGCAAATGAGCTCTCAAACTCTTGTGAATCATTAATCCAATCTCAGGACAGCCTTCCTACTGTGGTTAACCCTCAGAGGTATTCTGGGGTCCAAGAAAGGTTCAAAGAGCCAGTCCTACTAAAATTAAACACTCACAAGGAAAAAATGAAGATAAACTGAACAGCAAATTTAATAATAAAATACAGATGAGATGTGCTTTACCCACACCATTTGGTCATTTATATAAAAGCAAAAGATTAAAATTTATGAAAATGTCCAGTAATTTAAAGAAACAGCAATCTGATTAAATTTCTTTAAGGCCCAAAGTCCTAAAAAGCCTCTAACAGGTGGCCAGACTGTTCAGGAAAAGTTCTCACCTAGATTTCAAATTAGGTTTTAAAGAGTACTTATTTTTCTGAACAGCCCATCTGCAAATAAACCAAGAACCATAGTTCAAGCCCAAAGAGTAAACATTTTTATATTCTATTTCTGGGCTCAATAGCAAATAGCTTACTAAATAAGGCTAAGTTTTTGTAAATGTTCTTGATATGAATATTAATTAGAGTAAAATCTAGGTCTATGTTTACCCCAAATTTAAAAAATATCTTGCCCTAAACTTGATCTAACTGGCATTAAAAATCACTGAGCAACCTTTAGCCTACTTTTTGTAGCCTGCTGTTCTGGAACTTCTTAAAATTATTTTCATTTTTGACATTTGCTTGCTTGTTCATCATTTTCTATGAAGCTGAAGTTGTCTCCTTATTCCCAGTTCTTTATTCTTTATGCCTGGTTCCTTTCTCAAGCTAATCTACAACCAATAAAAGCTGTTTATTAATTAATCACACATTCTAAAGAGAGAGAATATCATTAGCTATGCATATTTACTAATTAATATGTAAAATAATATCCTGCATCAAGTACATAGCCCTAAATGAAGATCAGATTAAGATGGGATTCTGGTGCAAAATATTTCTTGGGCCACCCCAAACTTCCTGTTGATGCCACTGAGGGACTGTCTCAAAGAACACCTGAATGTAGTCCTACCTGACTCAAAGCACAGTTCGGCCCTGCCAGGCTACAAACTGACAGCCCCCCATACTCACTGTACTAAGTATATGGTCCCGGATAAGAAACTGGCTTTTGGGCTGGGATTATGGCTGGAAATCCTTCTTGGGCCACCTCACACCATTCCCCTGTGGTACTAGGGGCTTACCTGGACATCCCTGATCAGAGTCTTGCCTGGCACAAAGTGTGGGTTGTTTGTCCCGGGCTGCCCACTCACAGTCCCCCAGGCACTGTACTAACTATATGGGCTCGAATAATGAACTGGATTTTGGGCTGGGATTATGGTTGGAAATCGTTTTGGGGCTATCCCACAACACGCCTCTGTACCATCAGGGGGCTATCCCAGATATCTCTAAACAGAGTCTTGTCCAGCCCAAAGCACAGTTTGTTTGCGCTAAGGTGCCAACTGACCCCTCCCCGCTCCCCATCATACTAAGTATAATGGCTCAAATAAGGAACTGGCATTTGGGCTAGGAATATGGCAGGAAATCTCTCTCGGACCACCCCACATCATGCCTCTGTAGTACTGGGGGACTCTCCCAGACACCCCTGACCAGAGTCTTGCCTGGCCCAAAGCACGGCTTGGCTATGGCAGGCTGCTAACTGAGAGCCCACTGTCCACTGTACTAAGTATATAGGCTCGAATAAGGAACTTGGATTTGGGCTGAGATTACAGATGGAAATCCTTCTTGAACTATCCCACACTATACCACTGTAGCCCCAAAGGACTCTCCCAGACACCCCTGACCAGAGTCTTGCTCAGCCCAAAGTATGGTTTGGCCCTGCCAGGTGTCCACTGTCCCTATCCAAGCCATCCCATCTAACCATACATCATAGACCTAACATCCGGACCAGCCACAAGTAAAGCAGACGAACTATGGCAGCCACTATCCTGCTTTTATGAAATATTATCAATATATGCTCCAGAGATTCCTGGGTTGAGGCCACACCCCTGCTACAGAGGAAGGCAACCCCCGCCCCCCCACAGTTCATATGCTAATCTGACCATGGGGTAAAAGTCCTTCCTAACCCCAAATATGGCAATTGGTCTGACCTTGAGTGAAGGGCAAGACCCTTAAGTCAGGACTCTCTGGCTTTGCTCCTAGCAGGAGAATCAGCCCACCCCAGTTCAAGTCCACAGCCTTAGGTGCAGCATTACTCAGTGCTTCTGAAGAAGGCTTAAAAACACCCTGACACATGTAGGCATAACTATGCCTAAATCACAGGCTACAGGACAGAGCTGACAAACAGAATCCAACTCTTGCATGTCATATAAAGAAGTATTAGTTACCAAAATCAGAGTAACTTTCCACTTCATTTGTTTTCTTAGATTACCTGCCTTCCCACCACCTCCTCTTGAATCCTGTTCCAGTTTGTATATCTCTTTCCTTCTGTTTATGTTTATGTCTTTACCACTTTTCCATTTCAACCATTCTCTTCTCTACATTGTTTTTTAGTCTTTGAATAGAATTTCAGAGGCATCTTTCAAACACTAGCTCCTTACAAAATTGGATAGAAAAGAGTAAGCAAGTGGACATGTGAACTCAGTTTCTTTCTACACTAGATTCAGGAAATGCATGTTTGTAATCCTGGTCTGTTTCCCTTTATAGCTACTCCCTTTGTAGACTGTTATAGATTGCTCATATTTCACATAAAACCAGCAAAGGACAACCTTCTGGGATGTGCAGGGAAGTGGTGAAATATGAGAGGTGGCCAATGCTATGTTGTGACCCTATCATGCCAACTTCTAGTGAACCAAGACTTCTGTGGGAAGCTCCTCTTCAGGTCACCCAAGGGACAGAATTTTCAGGAACTTTCCCCTACACCATGACTCCCAGGCAGGATAGAATTTCTGAGCCAGAAAACCCAAGCTACCTCTCTAATGTTTAGCTCACCCATGAAAGAACCCACCCTACATTTGAATACCAAAACACTATGCCCCAATTATCACCCAAAAAGGAATTTTGTTGCTGAAACACGTTGCTTCTCCTTTAAAGCAGAAATACCACGTGCAATTTATGAAAATCTAGAGAAGGCGCAAACTGCCAGTTACAAAACCCATTTCAGATAGATGAAGGAAATGTTAAGGCATAATCTATTAAGTTACAAGTCTTTTAGTATCTTCTCCAAGTATAGTTTAAATGTTCAAGACACTTACCTCTTCAGGAGTGATCACTCCAGTTTCTTTAAACTTTGATTCCTACAATGAAAAAAATTCAGAATACTTAGATATTTGCTTAAATGTACACCCTAGTCTATAACGAACAGTGCCTAGCAAACCTCTTGCTAGGCACTGATCCAGCAATGGCATATGTCCACACAGTGCTAATAAATGGACCCAAGTTACTTACATGCAATTGTGTTCCAGCTGCTGTGTTATCAGTTAACCATTTAACCAATATAATTAGAAGAGGTTAAACAGAATTTTTTTAATGATATTTACATCCCTATATCCTAGGCCCATCTCACTCCATTGTCTATAACCAGGTGTCAAGCATAGGGCCTGTGGGCTACATCCAACCTATGGAACCATTATCTAGCCTGCCAGACTACCAGAATTTGGGAGGCAGAAGACTGCCACAAAATTAGGGGCCCTTTGACCCTGCTAGCCATGGCTAAACTTGCTACCTCTGCACCCAGGTTGAAAATCACTAGTTGATAGTTGAGAACCTAAAATTCTGCAGTCTGTGCTGCTCTTGTTGGCAAGTGATATAGGAAGTCAAGCAGAGCCATGTGTTAATCTCTAAACATTAATAGAATGCATCAGACAAGAAAATAAGTCAGGAAACAGAGAACAACTGTTCTCATTACAGATTAACTTTGCCCCCCTTACGTACAGAGCTTCTACCATTAGCTTTTTTTGGTACGAAAAATTCAACTGTTTTACTATATGCTAGGAGAACCAGTTTCTTAACTTCCCATGCTGTTTCTAGAGGTGCACCGATGCATTGGTCCCACACTGAATGGGTACCATTTTAAGGAAAATTGACAGTATCAGCAATCAACCTTTTTGGGCTGATGTGGCTGATAATGTCACCAATAAATGGCCTGTGCACACATGCAGGCGGTCAGGAGCACGGGAAGAGGTACAGGGGAAGGGAGGGGAGCAGATCAAGGCCCCCTGTGGTGAGGGAGGGAGTGGACCTGGGGCAGGTGCTGCACAGCCGGCACAGGGCATGGGACAGAGTTACAAATGACTCATGTGAGGTGTGTGGGGGCTCCCATCACTGCACACACCCCCGGAGAGCATGGGGGTGGTGGTCCCAGATCTGCGTGCGGGGTGAAGGCGGACTGAACCAAGCTCTACCTGGTGAGGACTGGGCTGGGCTGGGGCTGTGCTCGGAGAGGGCAATGGTAGCACTGGGGAGGGGGTTGGGGGGAGGGGCCTATGCCAAATTTTGCAGTGGCTTCACCCCACACACAGATCTGGGGGCACACACCCTCCATGCCCTCCCGGGGTATGCACAGCAGGGGAAGCCGCCACCCCCCTCCCCACCACAGATAAGCTATTCACAGCCCCGCTCTGGCCCAGCTGTGCAGCACCTGCCCCAGCCCCACTCCCTCCCTCACTGCAGCGGCCTCAATCTGCACCCTCCCCCCACATCCCTTCCCTCCTCGCCCCTTTCCTCACAACAGACTTACCAGCCTGACCTGTTCTCCAAGTTGCTTGACTGCATATCGACAATCTGATTGGTATTGACCAATATGGCTCATTAAAAATCCGCCCTAGGTATCAGCCCGAAAAATCTCTATCACTGCACCCCTAGTTGTTTCATTAACTTATCTGCAATGGAATCAACTAAAAGCAAGCTTTAACAAGACATATATTTGTTTACTTTTTCATTCAAAAAGACATCTAGAAGCTTTCAGCACAGGACACGTGTTTTGCCTGCTCACCTCATTCCATGGTGAATGGAAGGAATTTGAGAGTTCAAAACAAAATATACAAAAAAAAAAATCATAGAAAATTAGGGTTGGATCCAGGAACCTCAAAAGGTCATTCAGTCCAACCCCCAAGCTCAGAGCAGGACCGTCCCCAACTAGATCATTCCAGCCAGAATATGTAGTTTTATAATTTGTAGTTATAAAACTACAGAAATATGTAGTTTTATAGTTGAAAAGGGCCACAGATTGATCTTCAAACAAAAAAATACATAGCCTCAATTCACAGTAAGGAACTCTGTACTACACACAGTACAGAACATCCACAAAGTACTGGTCTTATGTTCAGGAATTATCTGAGGAATTTATGCTATCACCCTTATTAATAAGTGGTTGCTTTCCTTTCTACTGCTCTAAATTGCCCTCAGGTTGTCATCCAGTCACCAAGAATACAACCCGGGGTAGATCATTCCAGCTGACAGCCAGAAAGCGTTAACTATCCCTGCTATGAGCAATACCTCTTCCATACTGCAGAAAGATCAAGAATGCCCAGGTTGTCTTTGTTAAGTAAGCAGGAGCACTCTTGCCAGTGATACTCCCATCTTCCCTTCCTCTCCAAGGATGAAGACTTGAGATGGGAAGGAGGGGGGGATGCAATTTAAGAGCCAAAATTAAAATGAGATAAGTGAAAATTTTGCTGGACCAAGCAGTACAGCTGCACTACCTGGTAATTACAGGTCTGCCTTTAAAGAGTTTAGGCTGATAAAAAGATAAAACTAAGGACTTGCTGACAGTGTGCTGTGTCAGTATGTTGAAGGCTCAGATTGCAGAGCAACCTTAGGACTTCTTCCTTAAACATACCACACAAAGTGCAGAATGCAAGCAAGCCTTGTGATCTGTTACCCTAGTGAGGTTCACAATACTTAGCATCTGTAGAAAGCCAGCCAAGTCTATGCAGCAATGCTGGGTAGCTCTTTTAATAATTCAAACATTCACTTACAAAAACAGGAGCTTGGATCAAAGTTCCAAAGGTCCCACAACAAATTATTCAAAGCACAATAATGATAGTACATAGCACATGCCAGACTTTAACGTGTGCTGGCTAGAAAGAGACAGTGGGCAATAGTACTCCTGGATTGTATACACAATAGAATAAGACACCCACTGTATAAAGGTGAGCTAATGGCTCTCAACCTTTTTGGCCTGGACTCAGCCCTCACTGGACCTGAAGCACCCTTCCATAACTTTAGCAAACCAAGTAGCTCCCAATTTAAAAAAAGAATGTATAGATTACAGCGATTACTTCCTTGCAAAGGGGTCTGACAGTGGGATGGGGGCTCCTCAGGCAGTGACAAGCCTGAGCCTATGCTTATCACCTTAGTTTAGCTGTTTATTTCCTAATGCAGGGGAGGCCAAAGTCCATATGGCCCAAGAGGACTCTATTTCCCAGAAGCCTCTGCAGTGGTGGCCCCACCCCCCACCCAGACACTCCAGCCTGTTCACCCTGCATCCACTGCCAGGGAAGGACCCATGTGGGCAGGGCATGAGGCTGGAATGGGACCATGGCCAAAAGTAAGATGGACACGTAGGGCCTGGGAGACCCTGGGATCTTAGGGCAGTGACAGCGTGTGGCTGGGGCTGGGGCAGAGCAACGACTCACTGCCCACACACTCCTGTGGGCAGGGGCATGCAGGGAGCAGATTGTGACTGCTCTGGCCTGGGCTCCATGCTATCACTACCCCAAGATCCCAGCCCCTGCCCTGGATGCAGTTCCCTGTGTGGCTCCTGACCAACCTTTATACAGACCCTATGAACGTGGAGCCAGGAAGCACTGGAGCCCATTCTGCAGCTCTGTGGTCACAGCCTTGCACTCCTGCAATCTACACAGAGACCGGCTGGGATCTGTCCAGGCAGGGACTGCTGGGAAGTGGAGCGCAACCACTGGCTGGATACACTATTTCGCCCACCTCTATCATAACACCTCACTTTTCTCATGACACCGTTCAACAGATCTGGAGGCAACCCCAGGGTGCCCCAGCATCCTGATTGAGAATCACAGATGTAGACAAATTGCTTCACCTTCCCACAGCTCAGTTTCTCACTACCCTTATGTAGGAGCAAGCAATAGTACCAGTAGCCGAGCAAAACAGGGTTAGCATAACACCATAACAGTTATTCTGAGAAAGAGAGAGAAATGAATGTTGCCGAGCCAGGGCTGGCCAACCTGCAGCATGTGCACCCTGAGTGACATGGCCAGCCTCTGCCTGTGTCACAGGGCCCACCTGGGAGGGAGTAGGCAGCAGAAAGCAGGGTGGAGGATCAGGCTGGAGCAGAAAGAAGACCAATGGACTGGGCAGGGAGTAGGGTTACCACGTCAGGGTTTTCCTGGACGTGTCCTCTTTTGGGGTCCCCCAGTCTCCATCCAGGCAGTTTTCTGAAATATGAACAAGTGTCCAGGAGTTCCCTCTGCTGCACTGGTGGGACCAGGGGGAAAGCACTTGGAGGCTGGGGGCACCATGTGTGCTTGTGTGCGCACACACATATGGCTGGCACGCAGCCTGGCAGGGTGGTGGCAGCAACCTTGGCTGCTAGATGCAGGTTGGAGGGAGCAGAGGTTGGAGGGCCAGGCTTTGGGGCACCGTGGACGGTAGGTGTGGAGGAGACAGGCAGGTGGCTGCCGACGCTGGGGATGGTGTCTAGGCACGAGGGCTGTGGCGGGGGGAGAGGGGGGCACCCACCCCTCCAGCAGGGGAAGGGGGTGGGGAGAGCGCTTCGAGGGCAGTTGCACGGCTGAGGTAAGTAGCACTGGGGCGGGGAGCAAGGTGCCTCTCCGACAGGCGTCCTCTCTGTTGGAACTGGAAATACTGCAAGTAACCCTACAAGGAGCAGAAAGCAGAGCAGCAGCCCAGGACACGAGCAGAGGGCCGGCCCCAGCCTCGCGAGGCCCCTCCCGCCGCCCGCCCCGCGCGCACCTTGAGCACGGGGGTGAGGTACTCGGCCACCCCCAGCGCCTTCCCCTTCATCGTGTTGATGACGCTCTGCATTGTGCCGGGGCGAGACAACGGCGGCAGCAACACCGGCACAAACCTGCCCGAGCCGCGGTCACATGACCCCCACTTCGGGCCCACGTGACGCGTCGAATTCCGGTAAGCCACCCCCTGGCGACTCTGCGCCTGCGTCGCCCCCCGTCCCAGGAAATAATCCGTCGCGCGGACACGCTGCCTTAGTGCACACGCGCAAAGGAAGAGCCGGAAGGGGCTGGAGGTGTCACGTGACTCGGTAGAGCCGCCTGTCACGTGGCTTAGCCAGCCGCGGGGTGGGTAGTTCAGTGCGCATGCGCGCGGGGCTGGAAGCGGGGGGCGAGGCTATACCGGCCTGCAGGGCCAGGTAGGTCGGGGGTGACGCGGGTGTGGGGCCCGTCTGCTGCAGGGGTGGGGGGAGGAAGCAGCTCGTGGCCGGCGGGCAGCGGGGCTGGACAGGCAAACTGGAGAGGGCGGTCCCCCCTGCGGGGTGAGGCGTTTAGCAGGAATCGGGGCCAGGGCAGTGCTGCTGTTGCCGCTTAGTTTTAAACTGCCGGTGGAGCAGGAAGCAAAGTGGGGTGCGATCGCACCAGTGCACCCCCCCTTGGAGCCGCCCCTGTCAGCAGTGAGACAAGGGCTGGAAGGCACCTCAGGAGGTCACATCTAGTCCACCCCCTGCTCAGAGCCCCAACTGGGTCATCCCAGCCAGGGCTTTGTCCAGTTGAGTCTTCAAAACCTCCAGGGATGGAGGTGCCATCACCTGTTGCAGTGCTTCACTGCTGTCCTGGTGAGAGAGGTTTTCCTGATTTGTAACCTTGATTTCCTATGCTGCAACTTGAGACCAGTGCTAGGTTATTTGCTTCCCTCCACTACCTCTCTCCAGTTTGGTGCCCACTCCTGCCACTGAGGCTAGATGGACCATTGGCCTGACCTGGTGTGGCACTGCTTATAGCCTTACAAAAATACCTTCTCTCTCATCGTGTTTTTTGGGGGGCAAGAGGGAGTGGGTTTGTCATTTCCCTCTGCCCATTTACACATCTCTTGTTGCTTCTCATATCCATTCCAGAGAAGCAGTCGAGCAAAGCCATGCCAAACCTGCCCTTGGGTGTGCAATCCATGAAGCAGTAGAACCTGTGCGAGTGCTTAGCTCTTTTATCAGCTCCTACAGTATGAATACATGTTATTTGTGCCCTGTTATCCAAAGGGCACTGACAGCGAGACAGCAGGATGGCGACCAAGTGCTGCCGTCGGTCTGTATGCTCCAAGTCGTCTGCGTATGCCGTCCTGCTAGGGGGAGTATATGTTACCTTGGGTTCCAGTAGGATCCTCTTGATGAAATATTCAGCCAATGAACGTATGTTTGCATTTGTGATATATATTATTCAGAGAAAGCTACCTGTACAGGGTATGTGCTCAAATGTATATTAAAATGATTGGCAGGTATTTGGGAAGCTGTGTGCTGTTGAAAATAGGGCATTTATAATGAGAGTTCTAAACATAACTTTAATTTGTGGAGCATTTTTACAGTACATGAGTCAAACTGAAGGATGTGCCTATGTCACACCGTAAAACTAGATGCTGTCTGGTGCACCTTTGCGAGAGACTCCCAGGGCACAGCCAGATGACTCCACACGTGTAGGGGCATGTGTTTCCCACAGTACAAATAGCAGAGGCACCTCTGCTGGCCCCAGTAGTCTTACGTGGTGTCCTGGAGGCCTTCTGGGGCAGCAGTGGCACTAATCTGGTGGCACGGAGCCTCCCAGTGTCAAATTTTGGTGCTTACTGCAAATTAGCACAGTGAACAGGTGCACATGCACCTTGTGTGGTTTGCAGCATCTCAGACAGCTTTGAGGCACTGCAAACCAAACTTGCACAACTCCTCTGGACGTGCCCCGAGAGTGTTTCCACACCTTCAGGGGTGCCTTTCAGTCCCCAAACCTGCCTACCATCTGTTGCTTGACCATAGAGAACAGACTGAGATGGTCCAAAAGTCATGTGTCTGACTGATAGCATGTCATCTTTACCCACCTCACCCTGGTCTTGCCAGCTTTTGGCAGAGGGGATTTTGCCAGTCAGAAGAATCACACCCTTGACTAGTCATGTGCTCGGAAATGATATATTTTATAGTTTCATAGTTTCTAGGGTCGGAAGGGACCTGAGAAGATCATCTAGTCCGACCCTCTGCCATGGCAGGGGGCTAGATGATTTTCCCCCACTTCCTTGCAAGAGGCCTGTCTGTATGATCAAATACTCTAAAACAGTTTTTTTTTTCTGCCTTTCATAACTTGCTATTGTCCACTAACAATAGTAAATTATGAAAGGTAGGAAAAAATTTCAGAGTGTCTAACCATACATACAATTGGATAAAGTAAGTTATAATACAAAAATAAACATAAGAAATCAGTAATCATTTGCTGAAATACAAATATAAGAGATATAAGAATAAACAAACAAAAAGGCAATATTAGAACAATAATCTGATTTTACCCTGCATCTTAAATCTAAGAATGCAGCTTCTGCTCAGCTCAGTAGTTAGAAAGCAGCTCCTGCCTCTAACCATTTTGTCAGAACTCCCAGCAACTTCTCCTGGTAATCGCAACACCTAGTCCCCTGGCTGAAGGCCTGAAGTCATTGCCTGTGCCTGGGAAAACTAAATACAAACACTTGGTCTCATGACAAGTCTTAGTAGGGTTTCTTATCTGATAGTTTACATACATTATCCACTGGATTCTTGGGGAGCTCATACTCTGCATCAGAATGCTTGCTTTTATTGGACCAATTACATAGTTAGCATAAAGTTTGACAAGCTTTTGGGTGCAAGACATTCCTCGTCAGGTTGCTGACAAGGTGGGGAGGAACACTTAAGTTAATTATTACCCTACTGAATAGTTGGGGTAAAATATCAATCATGAAAAATACATTCAGGTCAAATACCACAGTTCCATAAAGATATAATAATAATAAGTCTAAATACAGCTTGATGCTGCTTAGATGTAGAGACTGCTCATCAGTGAAACAAATTCAAGAAAACATGCATGACAGCCCATTAATACATCAAAAATATTACTGGTTCATGACAGTGCCAAAATGGTTCTCAAAGACTACCTGGACTGTGGCTTTCTTCTGCTTTAAATGTGAATAGAGAAGTTGGCATACCAGTGTTTGTTTACTGCAGTTTTCTGAATTTTACAGATAACAAGTATGATTACCTTCCTGCAACTGTGAATGTGTGCTCTGAGCTAGTAAAACTAGTGCTGTCTATGATAGCGGCACTCTGGGTAACAAGAAGAGGTAAGTGCCCATAGCTAGATGCTGTTATGAAGCATTAGCCCTGTTCTTTATATACCCTTTAAAGTGCTAGCTCAAATTCTTTCTTTGCAGAATTTGCACAAATTGTAACTCAAGCAACACTATGCAATAGTTTGGTCAGTCTGAGTTATTTCATAGCATGCTACTTTCACTTAGGCTAGACTAACTCTAGAGGAGTTCACCTGAATATAGATCATTCAGGTTAGTCTTCCTGCCTCTGCTACAGTTAAGATGTAGAACCTGATTCTCTGGAAAAGTTGACAATATTCTGTCAGCACATTCTTGTGTAGAACTGGGGATCAAGCTGTACTGGGGGTTAAGCTGTACAAAGAGTAACAAGCCTAAGGATTGGGATTTGGGGCTTGCAGACTCTTCTGGGTATGTCTCAGTTGTTCTCTCTGCTCCCTTGTGTGAGGTCCGAAGATAAACCAAAAAATGCAAAAGGTGCAAGCGTACGGTGGTGAAGCTGCCTAGAAGTAAGTGGAAGTGGGCTAGCGTGGAAGAAGGGTCTGATTAAGTGAACAAAGGGATAGCTGAAGGCTGGTCTGGCTAAAGGAGGGGCAAGGAACCCTAGTTTGGTATACTAGTCTTTGCATGTAACCAAGGACACGTGCATTTTCATTGTCACAGGAGGTGGTGGTGGCAGATAGCACAGCCAGGCTCAAAAAGAGCTAAACAAACTATAGATGATAGATCCATTAATAGCTACTGAACAGAACAGCCGGGGAATGTTTCCCTTAGCATCTTTCAGCTAATAGTGGTGGATACCAGGAGGATAGTTAATAGGGGTTAGATCACTCTAGATCAGTGATTCTCAACCAGGGTGCCACACCACCCTGTAGTGCCTTGAGATCCTTTCAGAGGTGTCGAATGCCACAGAACATTAGCATTGTTACATGTGCAAACGTGGTTAATAGTATAAACCCAGAGATTTCAAATAGAAATCTATAATGTTAAGACCATGCTTCCCTGTTGTAGTCTTTCTGAATTCTTTGCAACAGAAATTTTTTCTATTGTTTTTCTGTAGTCAAAAAAATGCATGAAAACTTAAGAACTAGCATTTTCCAAGGGGTTCCTCAAGTCTGAAAAGGTTGAGGACCACTGCTCTAGATATCTGGTTCAATGTTCTCACTCTAAAGCTTGAACTCCTGCCACTGTTGGAGACAGGATACTGGGGTAGTTGGACTGACCATTCATCTAACCCACTATGGCACTTTTTCTGTTCTTATGTTCAGTTTTCTAGTAAGCCTCTGATACATGTGTGCAGCAGCAGAGGGCACCACACGACCAAGAGCTGGCAACTTTTGGTGTGAAAACTGCCTTTTAAAATGCTTAACTGCTGAAAGGGCCGGGAATGGCTGGAGAAGGGCTGTGTATTACAGAGGATGAGAAACAAGGAAACATGCTGGTCTTCACTCTTACACTTAAATTCTTTGTAAAAAGAAAACCCCACCATCATTTGAGATGTAAACCATATCTGTGATTCGTTGCACCGTGTTCCCATCAAGCATATGCCTGCTTGCAACATTTTCAGTGCACCATCCTTAATCCCCCTTCCTCTATAATAGAAGCATGTACAGGAGTGAGTAGTACTTACCCACAGCATTCTCCACCTCTGAGCCATAGGTACCTTTTAGTTACAAATCTATATAACTGCACCTGTCTAAATGGTAATTAATTTCTATGATGATCATTTCTCTTTCACTTAAAATAAAAAAGGAAAGTGAATGATTAAAAAATGTCTTCAAGGCTGAGGAAAGATTGCCAAGGATTATGTTACACAAGTGGTTCTTAACATTTTTAGATTCAAACCACCCCTTGCTAGATTCAAGGCACCCCTCAGAAATGCTAGCTCTTAGCTTTCACACATTTTTTGGCTGTGAAAAACTAATAAAACAATTTCTCTGTTGCAAAGAACTTAGTGTTGGACCACCTGTTGTAGTCTTTCTGTGGATTCTTATTTGAAATCTTTGGATTTATCTTATGAATCATGTAGGATGCTGTGGACCCTGGTTGAGAATCATTACCTTATGCCTTTTCACAGTGTCAAGTTAAATAAAATAGACTTCTGGAAAAACAGGAAATACGGGTGCCTGTACGTGTGCTCCGACTGATTAGAATGTGTTAGAGCAGACTTGATTAATTGATTCTAACCCTGATTAATCAAATCTGCTGCAGCATTCTAATTAGAACACTCCAGCGTGCCTGCTGCAGTGTCACATGTATTCAGTGTCTCGCATTTCAAATGGCAGCAGGCAGGGTCACTTCAACTAAAATTCATCAACGGAGCTTTAGTTGAGGTCCCCTCATGGCCATTTTGAAATGTGGGATGCTCAATACACATGACACTGTGGCATTTAATTAGAGCAGCTTTTTGGACAGCCGCCCTAATTAAAATGCACCCCACCCTTTCAACCCCTCCCACTCCAGAGTATGTATATAGACACCCAGTGGTGTTAAAGTGTGTGTCCATACACCCTTAACTGCTTCCTAGACTATGGCCATAATACACATGCTCTCATTCTGCCTTAGGACTCGTGCAGACAAGAGCTACTTATACTTGCCTTACAGTCAAACTCCTTAAAAAAAAAAAAAAAATCCCAAAAACCCAACACTGCCCCCCCCAACACTGCTGCTTAGTGACTTATTCTTTCCAGATCCACAGTTCCAATTCTGATGGGGGCCAAATCTTCTGTAAAGTTTGTGACTCTACTTTGGGGACTGCTAGCTAATTTCTACAGTCCCCTCACCTTTATGCATATGATGCCATCCAAAACTGTTACTGCTTACCCATTCATAAACCTGCACACTATGTTCTTTTCCTACTGAAGTGCTGATAAACTTCAAAACACCTGTATCTAGGTAATTAATGCAACCAATATGTTAGGGCATTGAAATGAGGGATTCTGAATGTCTCAACAGACACATGAACCTCTTTTCTTCACCTGGACAGACTGGTAAAGATTTCACCTTTCTGAAGGGGTGTCACCTACTTGCATCAGCTTGAATCACTTTTGCAGGTGCTTCTGCTAACCCAGGGGTGGACAAAACATGACCTGTGGGCCAGATCCAACTCACCAAGGGATTCCATGTGACCTGTGGCAGGTCTCTCAGTCCCACCTGGCTCAGGCACAGGGGGCAGCCAGGGCCATGGCTCTTGTGGCCAGTCATGTTGCCCAAGGCCTGCAGTAGGGAAAGGGCAGCATGGTGGCTGGACTCAGCTTCCTGGCAGCCCCTGTGGCAGCAGGTTGCTCTGCCTGGCTGCTGCTGACAATCTGTCCTGCATTTACCGCCAGAGGTGCCAGATGGAGTGGATGGGTGGGTGGGGTCTCTTTGGAGACTGGTCTGGTACTCCTGAGGGCAGAAAATGATTGGCTGGGTGGAAGACGGCATTTGGGAGCAGGACGGGCAGACAGATTGGGCAGTAACAGGGCAGGGCCAGGGCAGAGCCATGATCTGCTCTCCACACATCCCTGTAACAGGTGGTGGTTCCCTGGGTGGGGATATACAGAGAGCAGATCATGGCTCTGACCCAGGCCCCTGCCCCACACTGCACCTGGTTTGCACTGTGGCTGCTTGTAGCCTGGCAGTATGGGGTGGCTCCGATAGATCATCACCAGATTAGGCCACCCTGTACTGCTGGGCTGTGCCACTCTGCAGCCGCATTGTACTGGGGCTCCCTGTGTGCACCTGTGCTGGGGTGGAGGTAGCAGGGGCCAGGTCATGGGCATCCCCCCTTTCTCCCCCCCCCTCCCTTCCCTGCCCCCATTCATAAATGTTAGGGTCAGAAGGGTCCTCAATAGATCATTGAGTCTGACCCCCTGCATAGGCAGAAAAGAGTGCTGGGTTCAGATAACCCCAGCCAGATGATTGGCCTGGTCATTGTTACCACTAGGATTCTTTTTGCCAGAGACCCCCAAGGATTGACACAGCCCCTTGTCTGATTTAGTATCAAGTAAAATTTAATAGTAACCCATAAGCCTTTTTACAAATTTTCTCTCTGTAATATAACTTGATAAATGGTTTCTTCAGATGGTACAGTAATGGCTTTCAGTGGTAGGAGCCTCAGATCCTCTGCTGAGTGTGTGAGATGTTTGTTTCTGGATTGTCCGCTGCTCGAGCAAAAAGTCCACAGTTGGCACTGCCTCCCCATGACAACAACATGAACACAACGTTGTCACTTTGCTTGTCCACTACCTTCTTTAACTTTCTCATCCCAAATTGTCCAGTCCTCAAGTTCCTTATCTCATCTTTTTAGATAACTTTAGATACTCCAGTCCTATCCCATTTTTGGTTTCATTTCCTTTTAGAGAAACTGGTGTACCTCGTTCACCCACTGTACCAGTCACAGCACTCGCTTTTCCCACTGCCTTATGAGGCACTCTGTACAATTTTACTGCTTAGTTCCAGGAAGGCCTAGATTCTGGTCAAAAGCCCTAACATAACGCAGTTTGCCCACCATGGTCATGATCTGTCAGGGCTGCTCTGTGCTGTCAGGCTGTGAGCAGCCACAGCACGAACCAGGTGCAGTGTGGGGTGGTGCAGGGCCAGGGCAGAGCGGCAATCCACTCCTTGCATGTCGTTGCCCACAGAATTGCCACCCATCACAGAAATGTGTGGGGAGCAGATCACAGCTCTGCCCCAGGCCCTATGCTGTCCCTGCCCTGTGATCCCAGGCTTGCCCTCTTGCCCATCCTGCTCCTGGATATCGTTCCATGCCCACCTCTGGCCCCATCCCATCTGCTTAGTTGAGTGTGCTCTGCCCATGGGTGTCCCAAGCCGATCTCTAAGGAGACCTCATCCATCCACCCACTCTGTCCAGCACCCCACGGACTGGCCTGGGCTATTCCCCCCCGCCCCCGCAACCTGCAACAGCTCATCAAAACTCCTTAAGTGGCCCTCAAGTCCAAATAATTGCCCACCTGTGTGCTAATCCCCACATCATTTAATACAGCTATACCTAAGACCATGAATGCCACCAGTCCTTGCTGCTACTTTTCATTGATTGTTGCTGGTTCCAGGTTGCATCAGTCTATACTTTGCCTCTTTCTGTGTCCTGGTTTTGAGATATTCTTACTTTGTCCCTTCCTTTTTGAGCCTGTTAACTCCACTTCTTGCCAACTACTTTCATTTCCCACCCACTGTATTTGCACCCTGTGCTGTTCATATTTTAAATTTAAAAATGCTGATTACGTTGAGATGCACATCCCTGAATGTCTTGGCAAACTTAGTCCTACATCTCCTTCCCTCATCCTCTGTTTTGGCTTCCTTTACAGCCTGTTGTCATTTAAATGGCAAATTCTGTGGGGTGGTTTAACAGGGTGGTCTGTTCCTTTTAAGAGGGAACAGTTAGCTCTATTTGGAGAGTCCAGCTGCAGGGCATTTGGATAATGAGAGCGTGCCCCACTGGGAGCTTAACACCCCGGGAGAGTGAGCAGAAGAGGCAGGTAAGCTGTGGGCTAAATTTCTTGCTGTACAGAGATGCAAGGCTGCTGTGCTGGGGCCAGAGCCAAGGGGGTTCCCCTTCCAGTGTCCAAGACAGGACAGTAGGATTTTCATTAATTTGTTTTAAAACTTTTATGTGGGAGGAGCTCCTCAGATGACAGCAGCCTAGGCAAACAAGATGGTTTCTGGGGGGCTTTTTCCAGGTGCTACACTTTGGGTTCTATATAAAGAAGGTGTTTTTACATTTAGGTCACTGTTTTAAATCTGGTTACAATCAGCAGACATGGAAAGCCATTTCCATCTGGCTGCCATTCCTTGCTGTCATAAAATGACTGGCAGCCTCTTTATTGTTCCTAGTCGGAACATGACCCTATCATTGAAAGTGTTTCTAGGGGAATGAATACCTTCTTTGCTCAGGACAAGGATTGAATGGCCACGCGGACTCATCTCTTCCCCTTATAATCAGTTATTTTATGTTAGTGGATAAAGGTGATTGGCAAGACAGTGTGGAGGAGGTTCGTGTTGTCTCTGTCTGTTGTATGTCTTGTGTATTAGCAGGAGGTTGGACTGGCACTTGTTGTCAAAACCTGATTTGCTTTTAAAACAAATAGTTGCTGTTCTGTGTAATATGTCTTGCACACATCAACCTGAGATGCCTTTAGCTCCAGTTTTCATCATTCACGTTCCCTTAACTAACCAATTTCCTTCTTTTTCTTTCATCAGGTCAATTATGTCATCATTTTGGATGTACATCATGGAGGCAATTTTGTAACTACATGAAATGGTCAATTCCTGCCTTTCTTTATTTTTTGGATAACCTGATTATTTTCTATGTCTTATCCTACCTCCAACCAGTAAGTATATATGTACCAAATAAGGTAGCATTAAATGGGACAAGGCTCACTTTTTTGAAGGTTCATACCAGTTGCGGGTTTGTGCTCCCATAGCTGACTTGCATAAGCATTTCATTTATGATTATTGTTTATTCCTTCAACCCACCTGACTTACAGCCCTCTTTTTAGCAACCAAATGTGAAGAATCCCTTTTATTTTCTCCTGCTTGACTGATTTTTACAGGTAGAATTAATAGTTTCAAAGAGATGCCTGTCTTGGTTCATCAGCCTTTTTCTTCTTTTCAGACCAGCATTTCTGTTCCCCACTGTTTTTTTCCAGAAGGCTGAGTTTTAAGACTTATTTCCTACAGAACTTCTATCACTGATCTTTTTAAAGTATGATTTCATATAATGGCTTATACATTTTTCTTTCTTCCATTCTGTGCCAAGTAAATCTCAGAAGCTTGCGAGCATTGTTAGGTCATAATCATTAGGTTGACTGATACTTGCTGAATTTCTCCAGAGGACCTGAATTCATTCTTTATATATTTAGAAAAAAAGATTGTGTCTTCATGCTTTCTATTTAGAGCTGGGATTATTTATTTGGTCCAAGTGTTATTACTTGAACAGCTTGTTAATATTGACAAACTCTGAAGTAAATGCTGTGAAACATGCATGCATTCCATTTGCATATAGAGTACACTGAAAATACTTCAGAGTAAGCAGGTCATGTCTGAACCCTAAGTTGTGATTATCTCATGTTTCCATGAAAGCTGGTTTGAGGTTAGTTTGTGAAGCAAAGATGAAATATAAATGGAACCTTTGGTAGTTCATCCTCTCCTGGACCTGTTCTGGATTTATCAATTTCAATTGCAAATATTTTTCTTTCTCACAAATGGGTCTAAGGAAATTATGCCCCCAATAGTTTATTATTATTTTTTAATTCTAATTTCACAAGTCAGGAAATCAGATTTATTAAGCTGCACTTTAACCTCTTGTATGGATACATTGGACCCAGGGGCTTTGATTTACAAGAGAACAGATCACTGGCAATGTGACCAATTATTTGGTAAATAAGGTGTTCGGCTACAACAGAAAAAAAGCAGCACTTTCTTTTTGCTAATTGCAGAGTTAGTGTTGAGATTTTAACGACATAAGGCAAAAAGGGTTTCAATATTATTTTAAGTAATTACCTAGCTAGCTGGATATAAACTTACTATGTAACAGAGTAATTTTTCTTTTGAGGGTCCCGTTGCAGGGAGGTATTGAAAATTAATTAATCTATGTAACATTTTTATACATATCACTATTCACTAAGAAGGCTCTGGAATTTAACAGTAAATATATTTAATTAAACTCTTAATTTTTAGAAATTCCTCTGTTGCTGTTCTAGTTCATTAGAGATGCAACAGAACACACCATTCTTAGATACAGGGCAGTGCAAATAGCAGACATGCTAGCTCCTTTGCTATTCACAGCGATCCAGAATAATGCATTCTGAGATGCATGTATTTATCGACAGCCTGGTTAAGTGAACACAATAATCTAATACTCCTTTGCAGTTCATCTGTAAAAAGCATGGCCATGATGCCATGCTTAGACACCTTAATGGGAGTCCAGTTGCTTTCTAGCTGAATGAGACTGAAAAGACTTTGGAGACAGAAGGCAATGGCAAATCCCTGTGAGATTCTGAACTTAAAATGCAGTGGTTCTAAGCATGCTTCTGCTCTGAAAAATGGTATTACACAGTTCCCTTGCTGTTTATCAACTCTGCTAGATCAATTTTGCTCAGCTTTAGTGTAAGACAGTGTTGTTTTTATCACTAGCTCCCCTTTGGATTTGAAATAATTTGGAGTCTTTCCATTCTGTGCTTTGTCACAGTTAATGAATTTCTGTTAATTAGTAAGCTGCGCTAATTAGAAGCGGCCATGTATCACATGTATCATTGTCGCTGCATGTCCCTGCACTGAAAAAATGTCAGCGGGGTGGTTTGAAATATAAAGTTCATTGGACACGTTTTATTTCAAAGAGCACTGCTGCCATTTTGTCAGCACAGAGATATACAGCGATGGTGATGCACAAGACTGCTAGAGCGCTTCAATTTCCATACTCCAGCAGACTCAGTTGAGTCTGTTCTGATGCGCTGGATTTTCAGTGCATCAGAACAGGCTCCCTGCATGTGTATAGGAGCCCTTAGTCTTCAAATTATGCCTTCAGTTAGTTATATCTGTGCCACAGCACTTGCTGTGCCATTGATAGACCCAGTTAATTGGGTGATTGAGGCAGAACACACTCCCAGTAAAAGCTGTTTTTTTCCATTGTAAGCCAATCTCTTAGTATTTCTTTAGTGTTTGTTTTCTGGCTGCCTAGGAGCCGTGGTCATAGGATAGCAATGCAGTCTGTGACCACGGGAGCAAACCTGTAGATTGAGACAGTGCCATTTTTAGGCAGTAGACCTGTGCTTTTCAATTTCTTTCACATGCTTGAAAGCTCTGGCATTGAGATCTTGGAAGCATCATGAAGGTAAAAGAATTACCTTGGCCCACGTCTGTTATCCAGTGTTCCCATGTCATGGTGACTGTTCGTGAAGGTTGCTCACACTGATGTCTGATCCATTGCTCTCTGAAATCAAGAGCCGTTTCAACACCTCTCTAGGCAACAGCAAAGCCTGCCTCTCAAAAGAGGATTTAGCTAGGCTTTATGCACCATTTACATCTTCAACATGGGCCACAAATGTCTTTTAAGGAATTCTGTGTTGTCCGCCCATTAAGTGCATCTCACCTGAAGCAGAATTTTAGTGCCAATGCGGCCAGTTTTTTGCTGTAGCACATCCTGGGAGGTGACATCTGTGAGGGTGGATCTTGTTGGACTACATTTGAATTGTAATTTTGTTCCCTGTGCTCTTTTTCTAGGCTCTGGCTGTATTGTTCTCAAATTTTGTCATTATAACAACAGCATTCCTATTCCGGATAGTGTTGAAGTAAGTTTCTATTAAAGCAAAATGTTTAGTGTTTCTTCTGTCATTCAACTGGAGAAGTTTGTTGCAATCCTCCTCTTTGTAAAACAGCTATCATTATTTTTAAAGCTTTTTATTTTCTAGTGTCTTTGGGACACAAGCCATAGGGATGGATAGTTTAAACTTACTATTAAATATGGAATGTGCCTTGTTTAGATCTCTGCAGATTTGGCAATTGTTCTTCTGTGATTAATATACAAATGGGATCATAACTGTGTAGTTTTTATGTGGCCTCACTAGAGTTGTGGTTGTTCGGTTGCTAGAAGTGTGCCTTTCCATATGTTAGTGTGGTTATTTTCCTTTTTAAGTTTATCTTTGGTTCTGAAATTCTTGAGTTTGCATTACCTCTTTCAGGGACCATTGCAACATGCTTCTGTTATTATGCTTAAGTTACTGACTCCATTTCAATATTAACTGTGAATTTATGGAGTGTTATACTCCTGTATTCAGGGGTATAGGTTGTAGCTGTGTTGGTTTAAGGACACAGGCAGACAAGGTTCTTTGGGTAAATATGATATCTTTTATTAGAGCAACTCAAATAGTTGGAAAAATTCTTCTTAGCTAAGAAGAATTTTTCCAGTTATTTGAGTTAGTTTAATAAAAGATATCAGATTTACCCCCAAGAACCTTGCCTGCCTATATTCCTGTATTGTCATTTTTAGAAAAATAAATGGAAAGTCACTTTCCTGAGGATTAATTGAACCAGATATTATTAGAGTTGCTAGAAATGGTCTCAAACATTTTTGTCAAACTGTTGAATTTGATGAGAGAGGCGATAATTTTTCTAAAGAAAATTGCTGTGAAAATCTTTGTCATGTTATTGACTGGTCATACATGATGATAAACAACGATTAAATACGTGGGAGAATGAGGTACAATAGTGTAGTGTAGAGATGTACTCAGTTTTACTGTGCCAGTGATGGGTTTTTAGTTTGGTCTGCTTAGTCAAATGAAATCATATTCTAAAAATGTAGGATTATGTTCTTTTTTTTTTTCTTCATATGTTATCTTGTTTGTTTCTCCTGTGTCTTCCCTCTCCTTAAAAATAATACTTTGCTTATTGAGGCTCTAAGGGGATGCATATGCTATAAGCTTTTACAAACCTCCCTATTTTTAACCAAAATGAGTTTTTGACAGTCTGATTAAAATGTTTAGTCCTCTGTTGTTTAGTTTTCAGTCTTTGTGATGTCATGATTTCATATGTTCTCCTATGGCCATCGTTATTCAAAGTAAATAAGACCATGAAGAATTTCTGAGACTAAAGAACAGCCAATATAATTTTGGCAGTCTTGCAGGCTACATCAATACTTCTGTGAGGAAAAGGGCACAAAAATTGGACTGACTTTCAGTGAAGACTTGCAAAAAAGGATTTCTTTGAATACACACACACACACACACACACACACACACACACGTATGTGTGTTTGTACATGCACACATACATGCACACATATGTATATAAAAATAAAATCACCTAATCGCCTGCCCAGAATTCTCACTTCTGCGCCTCCATCACAAGTCAGGTAGGAGCTCCCCTTGCTGCTATCTGGCATGTGGGTTCTTTGATGCCCGAGCTGATAACTCAGGTAAAACCCTGGCCCTTGCAGTCAGCCTTTTATCATTGCCTCAACAAAGGCAGGACTTTTCACTCTCTGACCAGAGTTGTGTATGGTGTAGCAGTTTCCAGTTTCGGCACCTTATTTGTTCTCCTCACATTTAACCTCTGTCACTGAACTTGTAACCAATACGAATTTGGGGGGTTTGGGCTGCTTTTTTTTCTCACAGACGGCAGCTCTCCTGGGTGCAGTGGGCCTCGTTGCTGATTTTGTTCCTGTCCATCATAGCTCTGACTGCTGGGACCGGAAGCCATCAGAATGGCTTGGCTGCCCATGGATTTCATCATGACATGTTTTTCAGCCCATCAAACAGCTGCCTTCAATACTCCAGGCTCGAAAGAGAGTGCTGGGGAAGGAGTAACTGCACAGTATCTGGGCTTTTTCCCACCTTCAGGTGGAACGTCACTGCCACCACGGCAGGAGCTTTGAAAACCCTCCGCCTTGGCCTGGGCCACCTTCTCATACTAGTGCAGTGCTTCATCTCTGCTCTGGCCAATATCTACAATGAAAAGATTCTGAAAGAAGGAGACCAACTCAGTGAAAGCATTTTTGTGCAGAACAGCAAACTCTATGTATTCGGGGTGCTGTTTAACGGGCTAATCCTAGCCCTGCACTCTGACTACTACAGGCAGATACAGTCCTGTGGCTTGTTTTATGGGCACAACACCTTCTCCATAGCCCTCATTTTTGTCACAGCCTTCATGGGACTGTCTGTGGCCTTCATCTTGAAGTTTCGAGACAACATGTTCCACGTCATGACTGCCCAGGTCACCACAGTGGTAATCACCACTGTGTCGGTCATAGTCTTTGACTTCAAACCTTCTCTGGAGTTCTTCTTGGAAGCTCCTGTGGTGCTTCTCTCCATATTTATCTACAATGCCAGCAAACCACCTGGGCAAGAATACGTTGTTCAGGGGGAGAGGAGCAAACTTTTCAGTGGAGACATGTGGGAACGTTCCAGTGGGGTAAGGCTTTTAAGATGCTTGTTTTTCTCTGTCAAGCTGACTGTTCAGATGATTTGCTACACCTGTGGGTAGCACTTGTGATTCAGCCAAAATTGTCATGTTAATTTAAACTCTATAAGCTCACACTCAGTCTTTTAAATAGGTTAGTCCCTATTTTAGCTCCATACTAGTGTTGTTTGCAGTTCCTGTCTTCTATCCCAAGGCCTAGCTGAGGACCCTGCCTTCCCCCTCTAATCTCAGGTGATCTTGCAGGCACTTTAGCTTGAATTAACCTTTCTCCTACAGTGTTTGCAACCCAGATACCCCCACCTGCTCATACTGGTACATGGGAACTGATTATAATCAAGTTGAAATCAAGTCTGTTTTTACCCCTGGAGCTCAGCCAATTGCTGAAAGTAGATAAATAGTGTAAATGGAATAAAGTAGATTGGGTGTTAACATTCTTCCAGTTTTAAAAATCTAAGATATTTCAAGAAACCCAGGTAAAGTTTTTTACTGTAAGAGTTTTAACATGATTTTTCCGCTATACTTTTTGCTCTTTGAATAGTAATATGGGCATTAAAATTTGGGGAAACCTTTTTATGGAAGGAGCTTGCTCACCCATCTTACATTTAGGTGAAATGAGAAATAAGTCTGAGATACAGGTGGGAGATGGGCAAGATTCCAGAAGACTGGAAAAGGGCTAACAGTGCCCAACTTTTAAAAAAGGGAAAAAGGAGGACCCAGGGAATTAAGGACTGGTCAGTCTGACTTCAGTACCCAGGAAGTTATTGGAGCAAATTTATAAAGAAGTGAATGTGTGCACATCTAAAGGAAGTGATCACTAGCAGCTGGCGTGGGTTTGTTAAGAACAGATCATGCCAAACTAACTTAATCTTCTTTGACAAAGTAACTAGTTCTGTGGATAAAGGGCATGCAATGGTCACACTGTACAAGGACATTAGTAAGGCTTTTGGTAAACTCCCATACAACTTTCTCATAAATAGGGACCTACCAAAATTGCAATTTTGTGGATATTGCAAAATCCAGCATTGCCTGCCAAATCCATGAAGTCCGTGGAGGGGTGAGGGGGGGAATCTTACTGGAAAGTGTGCTGTAGCAGCCTACTGGGGTGGGGAAGCGGGGGTCTGCCCGCTCAAGGGGCTGTTGGCGAGATGCCTGCCTCCCACCTCTGCCCCTCACCACTGATTGGCTGCAAGGGCTGTTTGTCATGCGGACCTGCCCTTTTCCACCAGTCAGCAAGGGGCAGGGCCACATGCCAGGCAGCCGTTGCAGCCAGTCAGTGGTGAGGGGCAGAACCACCAGGACCCCTCAGCTGGAGACGTGTGGGGGGAGGGAGGGTGCTGTGTTCCACCCGCGCAATGGCTGCTGGGCTCTGTGTTCTGCCCATGAAATTGGGGCGGGGGGACAGCCGCCCTGAATTTGGTAGAAACTGAACTGGAGAGATGTGGACTAGATAAAATTTCTATAAGGCAGATACAGAATTGACCCAATAATTGGAAACAAAGGGTAATTCTAAATGGATCAATGTCAGAATGGTAGGAGTTTTAAAGTGGAGTTGCATAGGGGTCTTTCCTCGGTCCAGTACTGTTTAACATGTTTGCTAATGATTTGGTTGCCAAAATAGAGAGGTTCCTGATCAAGTCTGCAGATTAAATGAAACTGGGAGATATTGAAACACTTGGGGGAGGGATAGGAGTAGATTCACAAGGATCTTGATAGATTGGAAAGCTGGGCTAGAGACAACAGGATTAAGTTCAACACAGATGTATGTATATTATGGCCATGTTCTGTGAGCAGCAGGGGCCAAAGTCTGCATGTAGCCCTGGGAAATTTAATTTAACCCTGAAAGTGGGGAGTAAATGTTTCCTCACCATTCCATACTGTGCCATTGCTGAGTGATGGTTAACAGATATACAGATAATGTGTATAATCACATGTTTGTGAAATCAGGCATGTTTTAGACCATGTGCTTAATCAACTGTGGGGATGGGGGACAAATTATTCAGCACCTCTGTGTCCAGGAAGAAAGAAGTCTCCATGCAGGAAGAAGCATATCTGTTAATACAACTGCATTCACTGGACTAGGGAAAATGAAAGTAGCCCAACGCAGAATGGTGAAATATTTTTTTCAATTAAAAACAAATCTGGGGACTTTTCCTCATGAATAGCTGTCTGTTCTATCCAAGACAAGGGTTTAATGTAAAAGAGATTTAAAACACAAGCCCTTGATTTCACAATTATGGCTGGACTGCTTCAAAATAAGTGTTTCTTGTGTTCTTGGCAAAAGGAAAATTTGCTCATAATTAACTGTTTTTTATTTTTTGTTTTTCCCACCCCCTTCTGGGTCCTGTAGGATGGAGAGGAGCTTGAGAGACTGACCAAAGCAAATAGTGATGCTGATACTGATGAAGATGCCTTCTAGCCTAGGGTGGTACAGATGAGTGCTGGGCAGTCTTCAAGAGAGCAGCTTGAATGCCCTTCAGAATGTGGAAGAGTCCTTTTTTACTGTGCAGAGCAATTGAGAATATTTGTTTTTTGGTGGTTTCAGGGGAGAGGTGATGGTGGAGTTTACTGTTTTCAAGTTGTGCCAGTAACTCAAACACAGCAGGGTAAGTTTCAGGGTTGGAGGTGATTACAAATGAGTATAAACCCCATGATGTACCAGAAGTAGGAAAGGAACACTGTAGAATCACTAGCTTGATCCATGTAAATTGCAGTGTATGCTGTATTCACCTCTTGCATCAGTGTAAATCACGGGCTAAGCGCAATGAAGTCAATGTAAAGGGGTGGAGAATATGTGGCCCTTAGTCTTATTGATCAGGATGATCCAAGAGCTGAGTGTCAGCCCAGCAATTTGAAAGTAAAGGCGGAGCACTAGTGTTCATGTGCACCGTAGTGACAGTGTTGACTCCCCTCCTAGGCAAAGGTCCTCATCCTACAAACATTCTGTCAGTGTTGATCCTGGTTCACCCTCAGTTGCTCTGTGGTTTGGCCCCCTGACATCGTCGTGTGCCATCAGCATGTGGAACGTTGCCTAAGCTATAGGTACCCTTATATCTGAATTTGTATTAACATGTTTGTTAGTGTCATGTCCTTCTGTTCTTTTGACAAATGGTTCCATAGCAGCAGAACCAGTTTCATCACCATTCCAATAGCTTTCGGGAGTTGCTGAGCATCTGTTATGTTACTACAACTTACCAACTTACAAGCACTTGTGGTCTATTGGTAACGTGACTGGTATAGCCGATTGGAAGACCAGCTTCCCTGCTCATCTGAAATCTGAGGGGCTTTTTTATTTTTTAAAATGGATCTTGTTGCATCTTCCTCTAGTTTGAAAATTCTTATGCCTTGTGTGTCTCCCTGGAATTATAGTTTGTCCATTGCAGTACATTGGAGAGTTCTGTTCTATGTCACTGGAAATGAAATTATGCTGAAACCGTATTTCACTGTTTTGTCAATACAAAATAATGACTTTTAAATTTTAAGGAAATTGGCAAGAGAAATTTGGCCCCAAAAATATTTTTTGTACAAGCTTTTAAAAATGATTCTGAAATTTCCATGATCTTGAAAAAAGGAATCAAGTGTAATCTACAGAAAACCTGTATATTTTTATGCAGTGTTTGTGGCACAGAGCTCCAGTGCATGGCCTCTGATAATTACATTGACTGGAGACTGTAGCATAATTTGGCCAGGCTATTCCTTGTGTCCATACTTAGAGAAATGGAAGAAGAAAATGCTGTGAATTATGAAAGGCACATTGAATTATGGAAACAATTCCTGTTAACATTGGACAACATGGTCAGGAAGATTGAGCATCTCCTGAGGTCTATTTTTTCTACAGGTTTGGCCATTTTGCCCAGATCATTTTCATTTTAACTTTCAACCCAAGTTACCCTGTTCATACAACAGAAATAAAAATACCATTAACAACCTCACAGGAATGTCATGAGGATTAAGTGTTGAATTTGAGTCTCTGCACAACTCTACAAACACTCCATTAAGTGTTATTTTAATAATTAAGTTATTACTGATACCACAGGTAAGGAGACCTGTTTACAAATATGGAGGCAAATTCACTGCTATATTCTGGTTGCTTGACAGCATTGTGGTTATGTAGAGTAGCCATGAACCCAGTTTAATCAGACAGTTGCTCTGAATCTGCCTCATTTGTTTTAAACTAATAGTGTATATTGAGACAAGCCATTTGGCTTAGGGGGAGGTATTGTTCTCTATTACAGGGATGCCTTTGTAACAAACATTGAGTTTTACATGTAATTTATCAGACCTAATGGTGAAATAAATTTGAATAAATTAAAGTATGAATAATAAATCCACAGGCTGACAGTGGTCCTGATTCTGATTAAATCCCAGCTTATGCTTGCGGGAGGAGGGGCTGGATTTGTCATGCCTGTGCATGTGTCTCCTTGCTTTTTCAGAGGTCCTCATTGATTTAGTAGGATTGTTTAGTGAAAAGTTGGGGTCTAAAACTGAGCCTTGCACATAAAAGTCCCATTGCTGTGTATACATAAGAACATATGCAGTGCCATACTAGATCAGACCAATGGCCTGTCTAGCCCAGTATCTCATTCCCAACTGTGGCAGAAGTAGATGCTGTAGAGGGAGAGCATTGAACTAGATATCTCCAGAGTGGTCTATGCCCTATTCAGTACCCTCCCTGTCATCCATCATTACTGATTTAGAGATGCCAGAGGAAACATCTCAAACTGCTCTGTTCCGTGACCATTAATAGATCTATCATTCATTAATTTATCCAGTCTCTTTTTGGACCTGGCTGTGCTATCTGCCTCCACCACCTCCTGTGGCAATAAATTCTACAAGTTAACTATGTATTGTGTAAAAAAGTACTTCCCTTTGTTAGTTTTAAACCTGTCACCTACTAATGTCAGGTGAGACCCTAGTTCTACTGTTCTTGGACTCAGTGAACAAGAGTTCCCTGTTCGCTTAGTCTACACCCTTCATGATTTTATAGATCTCTATCATATCCCCCCTCAGCCGCCTCCTTTCCAAACTGAAGAGTCCTAGCCTCTGATCATTTTGGTTGCCCTTCTCTGAATCTTTTCTAGTTATACTACCAGGACCTCCTTTTTGAGGGGTGGAGACTAAAACTGCACTCAGTATTCAAGATGTGGGCACACCATGGATTTATATAATGGCATGATGATGTTGTCTGTTTTGTTTTCAATTTCCTTCTTAATGATGACTAACAACAGGTGCAAGTCACTTGTATTGGAATGAGCCCTGTCACTAGGCCATACTAAAGGATGCAGCAGCCAGCTATTGGTGTGTTTCTCAGAGGTTGAAGGCAATCCCGCTGTTTCCCTTGTGCTCCACAATCTACCCCAGGCATCATGTACTAATCACGTATGAATACATATCCTGTTGGTGGTTGATTGCTGTATTAATTAATACTGACCTGGTTAGTTCATTGGTCCATCAAATATGGTAGCTGCAGGCAACACCTGCTAAGTTGCATGTGGGATTTCCCTCCCCATCCCTACAGGAACCAGCTTCTGAACTGCATATTGTAAGGTTTGGTTTTTAAATTTTTTTTAAGGCTCAGACTAGTATGAATTCAGGAATAAGGGCCCTATTGTGGCACTTGGTTCTAGCCCACCTTATTTACAAAGCATTGTAATTATGAAGTACATTTCTTTAGAGAAAAGATAGAGCAGGAGATTCCATTCTGCTGAGAGAGCAGTCTATGGAGGCTTTATCATAGCATGGCTGGAGGAGGAGGTGCAGGGGGGCTTAACAGACAGGAAGTGGCAGCATGAGAAGAAGCAAAATGCAAGCAATACAAGATAATGGACGTAGACAGTTTGGATGACAGCAGAAGTAGATGGAATAGTCATGAAGGCCCTTGAGAGAGAGGTACATGAGTGTCTTGCAAAACTAAACTGAGGCCAGAGTTTTATTGGGACTGGCTGGTACACCCATGTAACTTCTTTCTCACTATAATCCTTTGAGATCCATGTAATACATCTTGCATGCAAGGGAAGAAGGAACAATCTGAACATGGGACTGATCGTTTCAGAGCAGCTTTTTGGATAAATCAAAGAACAGGGAGAGAAGATGCAGGAAAACCAGAAGAGGGGTTACAGTTAATAAATAAATGAACTAAACCAAGAATTGGGAGAACCCTAATCCAAATGGTTAAGTCTAATCATGTTTCTGTAGCCCTCACTAGACTTTCCTTCAGGATAATGGCAAAATAAGTTGAAGCATTTAACTTCATGCTAGCTTTCTTGTGACACTTTTCAGCATAAGATGTGATTTACCCCCTTCAGTTTGAGTGGATACATTTGTCCGTGGCTGTGCGTAGCATTTTTAGGTGATGCTAATGAACTACCCTGGTCCACTTAAATGTGAGTGATTTCATACCTACTTACCTTCTTGTTTGTTATCCCAGGGTGCTCAGAGGGGTGGTTAGTCATGATTAAAACTGCGTCCCTTGGTGTGAGTTACTGGGCTGTTTTAGGGAAGGAAATGTGTGCCCAGAAGCTACCATTTCGTTCCTATTCTTCCCTTTCTCCAGTGAGGGAACAGTTTGCTGCTAAAGTGCCAGTAGCAAATTACTACTTGCAGTCTTGCTGTAGTGGCTCATCTCTGCTGGCCATTGCCTGAGGGCATAGAGTCAACCCTTGGTCCTGAGAGCACAGTAAGTATATAGTGTCCCTTGGTCCTGCATTCCTGGAACATGTCAGGCCACCCCTCTCCAACCTTTTTCCATGCATGTGTGGGCCACATTATGATGGTAAACACCTAGATGAAGAGTAGTATGCATGTAAAAGCACTATTCAAATGCCTCTATATAGATTTTCCTCTGGGAAGAACCTTTCTCTGGCATACTCATAGAATCATACAAAAAAGAAAAACGCCCAAACTTATGGTTGTGATTTATTTAGAAGGTATCGCTTTACAAGTGACACTTAAATGTGAAACTAAACAACCAATCTCATTCTTTGCTATATTTTTATGGTAGCTTGTTAACAGAGAGAGAATCCTGCTAGCTTGAATCTGTACAGAACTTAATAGGAAACATTTAAATGCAACTTCCAGCCCTGATCAGAAGGAGACTGCATGTAGGTAAATCAACTCAGCTATCTCCACTGCCAAGTTCAGCCCTAATGAAAGCCTTCCTGTTCACTTCAGATGAGCTGTACAGGACTATTAGCAAGGCTGTGTTGAATGGGAGAGAGATAGGTACAAAACATATTGGCAGGAGGGAAGCAGAAATATTCTGTGCAGCAATACGGACATAAATTTCATCCAGGTACAGGAAAGGCTTTGAATGGGCTCATAAGAAAAATGTGTGTAAATTGGCCAGAAGTAAGCAAGAAAGCACCCTTGAAATGGTTTTATAGAAGTGTTAAGATACTATTGTACAGCTGGATGTCTCAGCCATGAATTTTCAGTGGAAGCTCTTGCATATCTTTCCCAGCTGGAAGGCAGTTTTGGTTTGTTAACAGATTCATGTTTTGTGCATGGGTCTTACCCCCTGCAATAACTGTGCTTGTGTATTCATACTAGTCTCCATCATATCACCAGTTTACCTCCAAATCCATAACCACATTCTGTTTCCCTCACAAAAGATACCGGAGTGCTGAATGAAAGAACTGGCTGAGCAGAAGGTTCACTGTCTGCCACGTGGCTCTTAGCAAATAAGTTGGACAGGGAGAACAGCCTGACTGAGACTCTGCCAAGCTGTTATTGAGAGCCCAGATTTACAAATGTTTCAACTTAAGAGCTGTTGAAAAATGTTTGGTTCCTCATTCAGGGTTGAGGAAATAGTTCTACAAAACCAACTTTGAAGACAGATGTGTTCATCTTCCCTTTGTTTAAAAAGTATTGGTTAAAACAGCACCGTGAATCCAAGCACAACAGCCTATTACCAAAAGGAGAACCTCAGTGAAAACAATCAGTTTAGACCAAAACCCAAATCCCAGGAACAGCGCAACTATCTATAAAATTAACAACTATGAAAGCATGGCTTTTAGTTGATTAAGGCTGTGTGATGAATGGGTGAACATGGCTCATTCTCTGCTTTTTCTGAGGGTGGTGCCCCAGTTAAGGTTGTTTGTAAGACTCAAACTACAGAACTTACAATGCTTCAGGATTTTTTGTTTTGGGGAAGGTTGAATGGTTTTGTAGGATTTTCTTGGCTAAGTAAAGCATAGATTCTTTCAGCCCTAGTTCCTCAACAAAGTTTTCTGATGGGGCCTATCAGAAGGAATCCTTGTAAAATTCAGCCCCATTTTGGATTCCAAATGATCACCTTCAGGGTGCCAAGTTGTTCAGAAATGGGGACTTTTTGGCTGGGCTCCTTAACAAGATGGGAGCTTAACACCAAAATTTAGACCAAGAGTAAGTCGCCTTACTGGCATAAAACAAATTTTACTTGAAATCCCTAGGCAAATATAAAGATCTTGCCTATTTGCTTCAAGTAGATTTTTTCTTTTGATACATTTATTCCTTTCTCTCTCACCGAACATTGATTTTATTGATCAGACCTTTAAAACAAGCCATAATCTAGTGTCATTCACTAGGCACTTCTGTAAATAGTCATTTAAAAAACACAAAGACACAAAGGTTTTTAAGCTAATACCTAAAAATGCCACCTCCTTCTCTGTTTGTCTAAAGGAATTCCTTGCTAGAGGAACAGCTGATATTCCTTACTTCTGGTTCTGCCTTTGGCCAAGGCAGGTAAGCAATTGACCATGGATACACTGAAGCAATCAACACTTATTTTCTTAAGCTGAACCACAGGACCTCACAGGCTTTCTTCTAGATATCTTTTAATTCAGCTAATTGCGTTTATCATTCTCTTCTGTCTTTCTTCCACATCCCCTTCCCTCTCCCTGCTCCAGCCCCTTCAGATACTGTACTGCTGTATGTACAGGCACTTGGAAGGTGGACTGACACAGCTGTCAGTCTTCACAAGATGGGTCCTTCAAGGGACCTTCTTCCCAGTAAGACCCAGTCACTTTTCCCTACCTAGAAAGCTGAGTCCTCAAACTGCGCCTTAGGCTGACTTGCCCTCCTAGCACTAGAGAAGCCAAATCTAAATCCTGGCTGGGCACCATGTGCTGCATGGCAGTGTTAATCTCTTCCTGTGCTCACTAGCCTGGCCTAGAATAATGTACAGGACATGGTCTTTTGCAATTGATTTTCTAAGGGAAGCACTTGGTTTTCAGCGAAGCCCTTCACTTACCTAGTTCTCTTCTCATCAGGACTGGCGCAAAGAGGCTCAGTGACTAATTTAACATCACACAGTAGGTTGTGCTTTGGCTGCCTGCTCCTCTATTTTTCTACTGTATT